ATGGAAAAAGTTGGATGTAAACCAGATGTGTCTCCAGCCTGCCAATGCTTGAAGACATGCAGGACAAAGAGTTAGAGAAAGATGGTACAAAATGTGTTTTTTATCTGGTGTAGGTTTGGTTGATACCATTTGTGGTTAGGGGAAAGCATCAGAAGCAAAGCAGGCAGGAGTGCAGTCACATTTCAGCAAACACCTGCACAGAAATGATCAGGCTCTGGGCTGTGGAAATGTGGAAATCCTTTGTTTTCTGAGCACAGAGATGCTGCCATTAACTTCAGAGAGGCAAAGCTGCATGGAAGAGAAGGGAATAGGGAGATAGAACAAAAATCTGGTTGGAAAAACAAACCAAACTTCCAGTTGAGAGTACAGCTTTTGTCTTTATTTCTCGTTTATTGAGGCACCTCTGTGCTGTGCTCTGTCCCAGGCAGGGCTGAAATGTTACTGGGAATATATTGGGGGAAATTTTAGGAAACAGTCTGTGCTGTCAGGGAAGGGCACTAAGATAAAGTGGGGTCTTTTCTTACTATAAAGACATAAAACCACCGATGGTTCTCTGAAAACCGTTTCATGTTTGGATGACAGGAAAAAAGGCAAGCAAGTGTAATTTCTCATGAGGATAACCTAGAGATGATTCTTGGCCAGCTTCCTAAAGAGTATCTAATTGCCTTTAGGTTTTCTGATTCTGTCCTYTTCTTGGAAAATAATCACAACTGGGTTGATAAAAATGACTTATTTTGGAAAAAATGCAATCCCCTTTTAGCTGTTCCTGAAAGCCCAGAGATACAGGGATGTCGGGAGAGTTCGAGGAGAAAACCTCCCTTGCAAATACAAAGGAGTGCTCATAATTTTAATGATTTCTCTGATTTAAGATGTTTTGTCTATCGCAGAAAATTTACAAAGGGTGATGAGAGTCCTTGTAAATACAGAGGCAGAACTCACAGCCCTTGGCTTTGCTTGCAGGTCCAAATTTGCCATCAGTACAGACATTCTTAACTCTGAGGTTCTTTCTTACATTTGAGAAAATAACAGGAGATTTGGCTGAGGAAATTGTTGCTGTTGCTATTGTAATTGTCTTTTGTTAATATTGAATTTTGATGAATGATGGGCTAAAGTTTTTTGTTCACTGCCTAGGGATGATCTTCAGGATCTATTGTCTCTCTCTGAATTTACAATATTTACCATTATTATATTTCTAAAAACAAAATCTCCAGCAGCTTAGAGGTAAAAGATATTTCTTACTTTCCTTTAATAGGTATACACTTTATTTGACAGGAATTRTTTTCTCTAAGGGCCGGTTAAATAAACAGTTTGAAGACCAAGGTGAGATTACACAGCTTTATTTTCACTGGTTAATAATCCATTTTTTGCCTTAATTCAGTTCCTCCCWGTGAGCTCAGAGATCTTAATTCACAAAGGTACTTGGGTGCTTTTCCAGCTTCAGGCAGAGCAATGGTTTTTTACTGGGACAATTCATGTGCTTCAAATCGAGTGCATGAAAAGAGAAAAGGCTGAAGGAAGAGGATTATCTCAACCTTTTTTTTTTTGTAAGAAGAAAATCTGTTTGCCCAAATGAATTTTTTTAATGGAAGTTCAACAGTCTGTGCATCCAGGACTGACATCCTGACAAGTTTTTGTGTACCCATTGAGTCCACCAAAATTCAGATTTACAAAGGTGTTTATGTTCTCTGAGAAGCTGCAGCAATAAAAGTAAGTAATTTCTTTTTTTATTCCTGCTCCTATATGTCTTTACTCACCAGAACATTGTTTCTTTCTTGGTGAATGACTCATTTGTTGAAACAGATTCCAACCAGTTTCAAGCTGAAATTATTTTCCAGGAAAAGYCTTTCTATACCAGAACCTCCCTGGCAGAGCCCTTACCCAAGCCACAAAACCCACGAAGCACAAGGAGCCACAGCTGAAAAAAAAGCCTGAATCAGCAGGCAAAACAGMAAATTGAGGAGTTCTGTGGGAAATTATAACCTGAAATGGAAAACAAATCTGTGACTGGCAGAGAAAGCTGAAACAGAGATGGGATGTGCAGCAAAAGCACTCGGTGCTTCTAGACAGGGTTATTGATGTTCCACTTGGGAATGAGGAATCTCAGTTTGTCCAGCTGGGACAGCAGCTATGGGACATGACACGTGGCACTTCTGGATGAGGGGGAAATGCTGAAAGGGAAAAATACTGACTGGTAAATTATTGGAAAGTGCAAAGAAAGCCCGAGGGAAAAATGGCCAAAGAATTAAAAACAATGGAGGATGAGGTAACAGAGACATCCTGAAAACCTCGTGGTTGAACTGGAAGCTCCTGCTATGCTGGAAAGGCCCAGAGGCTTAAAAAAATTACAAACATCAGGAAAATTACTGACCTCAAAAGGGAGCTATGGAAAGCAAAGACAGAAGAGAGCTCGTTACCAAGGCAAAACCAAAAAGATCTTGGTGCTGTGTTTCTAAGAAGTTGTGACCAAGCTCAGCTTCATCACATTCCAAACGAACTGGGGAGCCTGAACCTTTCTTCTGCCCTTTTTTTGTGTTAAGAGCAGCAATCAAAAGCACAGGCTGCAGCCACCATTCTGAAAAAAAAACAGAGCCAGCAAAGGATGGCAGGAGAAAAACTTCAGGAAAAGGGGAGGAAGTCAGTGAGTACCTGTGAAGAAGTGATTTAGTTCCAAAATGGGAACGTGGAGTCAACAAGTTGATGTCTGTGGTAAAGATCCTGCACATTGGATGGGGTGTCCTTGCTCTGTCCTGGGGACAAACTTCTGCAGGGACACTGCACCAGGTGAAAGGTGGTGTGGCTGTGGGATCTGAGGAGCACAAGCTGAATTTTTAGAGACTGGATGTTCATGTTGCTGATTACCATAGAGGGTTCATTCTCCAGGAAAGGCACAGAGAAAYAGGAAATAATGCAAACTCAATAATGCAGTCCTGGGGTGGTGTACAGCTTTTACATCYTGAGACATCCCAAAGGGGGATGGTGGAGAGGAAAGTAGGTGCTTTTTCATGATGAGTACTTGGCACAGGATGACAAAATTTATCTTGTGGCAAAACTGTGCTGAAAAATCCCCAAGGAGCCATCTGTCATTGCTGATGTCAGAGAAAGTGCAGAGCTTTGTGAAGTGGGTACTCCATGCTATCATTTCTCAGCCAGTTTAGATCAAACCCTCCTTTCTGCTGTGTACGATTCATGCACTTCCATGGAATTWTATTCACCCACCAGAGCGAACACATGGTCAGCTTCTCATTAAAAGAAGCCTTCAGTGGTTGTATTTTATACTGAAACTGTAAACTCAGCATTGTTTGAGGCAGAGTCAGAGGCCACAGCTGCTCTGCAGTGCTCAGGGTGTGCAGACAGGTGCTGTGGCTGTGTTCCACGGTGGGTGGGTGTGTGAGGAATGTCTGTGGCATCCTCAGCTCTGCAAACATCCCCCACCCTGAGCTGAGCCCGAGGGAGGGGATGTGCACGTTCAYATTGCAGTGGGGGAYGTGGCAGGGGAGGCTGGAGCAGAGRGGGAYTCTCCTGGAGCTGGTCCTGCAGGGACCATGGTGGCCACTCCATCCCCACAGGGTGAGAGGAGCCAGGGCAAGCATCAGGCTGGGAGTGGGCACTTCTGCCCCTCATCCCATGTGGAAAAGCTCCATCTCACTGTATCCTCAAGGGTGAGAGCTCATACTCTAAATGCCAGCAGATTGGTGATCATCCATAGAGCAACGATGGAGAGAGCAGAATTCTCCAAGGAAATTGTTAAGAAGATGCCATAATGGACAGCAAGGTGTACCTGACCTCAGGAGCAGCATGTTAATGAAGGCAGGAGCAGCAAATGGCAAAGAGGAGTGGAAATATTCCTCCTTTTGTGCTCCAGTGGGAGGATGGGTGGGTGAGCGTTCACAGGAGCAGTGAATGATGAGCAGACCTTGAAGGTTACGTTCCTTTACAAAAGTGACCTCATCTCTGATGTAAACTACCTGCAGAGGTATGTAAACATTTTCACTGGCTGCAAAAGTTTGTATTCAACAGATTTGCAATCCCTCAAAACCCCAGAGGCACAATGCAATGGAAACGGGCTCTGCTTCATGTCAGCTTTGCACCGTGGGCTTCAATTTTGGGCGTCTGGGATCAGAGAGATCAGCACTGCACTGTCCTGGATAACCACCCACATCATGTTAGCTGGCTCTGTGGTAATGCAGGCTTGTCTCTCAAATCACCTACCAGGCAAACAGGGCTGAATATGCATGCCTAAATTGTATCTCAATCCCTCAATCTGACTGGATTTTAAATTTTTTTTTTTAATTGTTTAAATAACTTTCAGAACGCAGCACAGCAGGTGTTAAATCTCTCTAACATATTTAATTGATTACTTTTCTCCTCCCCTCTTGCTGTGGGTATCAAGCYGGTGATTCCTGTCAAAGCCAAGGTGGATGTCATCACTGGAGCTCAGCTGAAGGCTTGATCCCATGTGTGTCACCTGTGTTCCCCTAACAAAAATGGCAAAGCAGCAATCCCCTGTCCCCAGCCCCCAAATGTCAATGTGCTGGAGGTATTTGCTGAATGTGGAGTAGGTAAAGAGGCACAGGTGGGCACTAAAGCAGGGAAGGTAATTTGGGGTTTTTTGTTGTGAGAGGAGTGTGATAAAAGTTTTCCAGAGTTTAAATAACCCTGGCCTGACTCATTTTTGTCACTGCCCATCAAAAACCACTTCCACCAAAACTACACCCTAAGTTTTTTAAGCAGCAAAAGCCCAAAAGGGAACTGTTCCTTTTCTCACCGTCTAGGAAAGCGTGCTTTAAAGACACAAAAACCCCACAGCGGTTAATTTTTTTCCCGGAGCCAGCTCTTGCTACATCACATCCATCCCCGGGCTGTCAATCATTACCCAGCACATCGTTCAGAAGGTGGAGCTGTCAGGCAGAAGCAATGAAAAGGTGAGGAAAGGAGAGCTCCTTGCTGATGCCAAGGGTGAGTGAGTGAGATTATGTCAAAGCTTTGAGGAGTCCCCTGGCTGTGCCCCACCCCCTGCTCCTATATAACCCACTCTGCATTTAGCAATACCTGCTTCCACCCAGCCGGGGCTGCGAGCGCCGGGGYTGCCGATGGATGCTGCGGCCAGCAGCGCCCTTGGGTGGCTCTGCGCAGGTGTCACCGCCCTTTTTGGGGTCACAGCGCTTTGCAGGGCCAGCAAGAGCCTTCTGGGCATAGCCAAAGGGCTGCTCTGGAGCCTCCTGGCCGCCCTGCTGGGGTTRCTGTGTGTGCCCGGGCTGGGGGCTGCCGGGGGGCTGGGGGTGTTTGTGCTCGGGTCCCTGGTGTGCTGTGCCTTCCTGGGGGACAGGAACCTGCTGCCCGTGGGGGACAGAGCCGTGCTCATCACAGGTAAGGCAAAAAAAACCTGCCGTGCTCATCACAGCAACCAACAAAAACTGCTTTTTCTCACACAAGTTTTCCAGGCAAACTTCGTGTCCTCGGGTTAGTGCATACTTGTGAGTGTTCCTTTTATTTATTTTTTTTTTCTGCTTGTTTTATTTGCTTCTGCAGAAATTTTTTTTTCGAGGTAAATAAGTGCTCTGAAATTAAGTAGAAAAGCATCTTAATAGATGCTATTATTTTTTAGTGTCTCGTTTAATCTTTACAAGTGGCTTTTCAGACGTACTTGTGCAATTAAACTGGTGCAAGAAGCATAAGAATACTTATGATGGTCTCATTTTTTTAGGAGTGATGTTAATTCCTGGGAGCCYTCAGAACACGACATTCATCCATTACTTTTTTTTTTTGTTGTTGTTTGGATTAATTGTGCTGGCTGTGGGTGCAGAGTTGTCTGTTGGGGTGTGTGTGTGCACACTGTGTCTGTCCTGCAYACATTTCAGGGCACTGCTTTGGTGCCATCTCTTTGAAACACTGAAATCATCCAGGAGGGAGGTAATTCCCTTCACCAGCAGGGAAAGTTCACAGCTAATTAATTCAGCCTCTATTACCACTCTGATCTACTCAAAMCCCGCTTTTATTTTGCAGGGGTGGCATTTTTTTTTATAGTTTTATGGCTTTTCTCCTGTTTCTTCTAAAACTTTAGGTGTTGTTTATTTAGATGTTGTTTATTAGTGTTAATCAAACCTTTAAAGTGCAGTGCCTGCCAACTGCTTCTTGCACTGTTAATTTGCTGGGTTTTGTTTTATTTCCTGTGTTTTTTCTCCCTCTGGAAAGCTGAATTAAGTTGCTTTGGTTTATATAGCAATTTCTAGCAGAATTTCAGTTTGTTTTATAGGGACACCTGGAAATAATTTAGATTTGCCTAGCAAGCTTTAATACAGGGATTTGATATAAAAGTTGAGAGAGGACAGGACTAGCAGTTTATCTGCCAGCTGGGTTTGTCCCAGCAGGTGTCAGATGAGGATGGATTTTGGGACAGGGAGCAATCCTTCCTTCCCCTGCAGGCTCAGGGGATGTGCTTGCACTTGGGCATCTCCTTGCTCTTTGCAAAACTGCAAATCTTCATAAAAAGCACTTTCTGGGAACTCATCTGTGTAGAATCTGAATTAGAATAAAATAAGGGAGTGAGGGATATTTGGGTACAGTCCAGTGAGGGATTGTTCCTTGTACCTGTGCTGTGAGTGTCCTGAAGAAATGCAAGTTTGGAATATCTGGTTAGTTTGAGGAGGCTCTTACTTGTCTTTATTGGRGTCCTGTGCAATCCATCCCTCCATCAACTGACACAGAAGTTTTACTCAACCTGTGTTTTGTTTCCATTGCTCTGGTTGTGATATTCTTCCCCCTTCCAACGACAGGATGTGTGTCCATGTGCAGGTGCAAAGTGCCTTTAAGTAGATTTTGGTGTCATTTTCCCCAGCTCAGACAAGACCTCAGGCAGGCAGTTGGTGGAAAAAGGTGAATTTTAATTATTTTTCCTTTTCTCTCTGCCTCCCAGCCCTGCAGGGCTGAGGAATGTGGCTTGTCCTGGGCCAGAGGCTGGAGCAGGCTCTGCTGCTCTCCCTGGGCTCTGTCACTCACTTCTGCTCCTCTTTGGATGTTCCTTGTACTGGTGCTGCTCCACATTATTTATCTGAGCCAGCAGCTCACTGGRGTACCAGGATAAGGGAAAAACTGCCCAAAGGTCAAAAAGGTTTTTCTCATGGATAACTGTGGGAGTGTGAGCAGGTTTAAAGCCATTGCTCAAACTCTGCTGTGGATCCTCCTGCTCCAATGCCCTCAAACAGAAGCTCATGGCATGCAAACACTTTAGCCACCTTACCTAAAAATTGAATCCTGTGTGCAATGGGATGAATTTCTCCAATTAATTTGGCCTTTCCATTCTTGGTGAGTGATTTGGTGCAGGTTGAGCACGAGTCAATTGTAAATTCTCAGTAATGATTCAGTCACAGTCAGGAGTGACTGCTTTCCTTATAATAAATCTTCTCATAGTCCACAAATTATTTTGGACATAGAAGCGAGAGTGTGGTTGGAGAGGAATTACCTTTTTTTTTTTTTTCTTCCCCCCCCCTGTGGAGACCTAGCTACTCTTTGAATTCTTGAATTCTAGGAGTGGAAGAGTAAAGTTTCTCTGGACTTCAATAACAGGTCTGAAACTCGAAACATACTTGCTTTGGAAAAAAAAGCAACAACCCAGGGACAAACCCAGCAYCAGGCAAAGATAAAAACAACTTTTATTGCTTTCTTGGGATTTCTGTACCCATCCCAAGTTCAAGTTGTATCRTATTCTGCCCATTCTCAGGCAAAAGCTGCATTGTAAAACTTAGGCAATGTGCAGCTGTGGCTGTGTTCTTTCTGGGAATGAGGAAAGAGGAAGGATTTGATCTGAAAGTAGGGTTTTTCACCAAAAAGAAAAAGAAGGAAAATCACCCCACTCCAAACCTAGAAATCTGTAATTTCTRGGATGTTTGCAGGCTTCTTTCTTCATGTCTTTTTAGGGAATTCAAAGAATGCAGGTTTGTCCTGTCAGGTCAGGACTGGAGATACTTGATGTGATATTTGTGGTGCTCTGGTGCATCTTCAGCAAATTGCCAGACTTCAGAAATGCCAAAAAAAAGCTGATGGGCTTTTTAACCCCCCTAAGAATTAAATAGAGCATGAGTAATTCTTTTCTGCTCGTTCAAGATGCACTGATTCATCCAGACATTTASTACGTGTTTTCTTCAGGCCACCTGGAAWTAATATTTTTCACCTTTCAGGACTRAAGCCCCTGTTAAAMGACARAATCCAGAAGTGAAGATCTAACACGATTATGATGAATCTCTTTAGCAGTGAAATTCTATTGACTGCATATTCTCAATGTAGGAGCAGATCTGTGATCAGCTCTGATAATATCTTCCTTGGTGTGCCAAAATCACAGAATAACCCTCAGAAGTTTATGGTAGGGTTAAGAAGGGAGTGTTGAAGCTCTTTCACAAACAAGAAAATAGTAAAAAACTTGGCAGGAGTTCTAGTGCTTTGCCTCGTATTTGGATTTCCAGGGTTTGGAAACTGAAGGTGATGCAGTAAATTGTTAATTTAGGAGACAGTCAAGCCCTGGGATACCTCCATGGATCCCAGAGCACAGCAGCATCCAGGAACTTTCTCTGCTGTTTTTATTCCACAGTCTCTAATAAAAAACTGCTCATCAGAGGGGTCTGTGTGGTAGATGTGTCAATAAAATAATGCTTCTTCTTGCAATGAAAAGATACAATCCAAGAATTTAAATTCCGATGCCTATAATTGTTTTGCCCATCAGAGAATTCAAATTAAAACAGTGTGGGTTTTGTTTCTTTTCTTTCTCTTAGATACTTTTGTTATCAGGTTTCAGTCTGAATATTTGTGTAAAACCAAACTAGGCCTTTATTTCCTCTGTATGTATAAAGTCAAAGAATCTGTCAGTGGCAGATCATGAGCTGATTCCATCAGCTCTGAGTCAGGASAATGTGGTCTGTYAATCTTCAGGGATTATTTAAAAGTSCAGCTCCTCAAATTTTAGATCTGAACCTTTCTTTCTACCGACATACGTATTTCAGAGACTTTGCCATCATCTTTTTGTTTAAATTTGCGTGAATTTCCAATGCATGTGTTTATTTCATATACATTTTTAATGGTGATGCAGGACAGACTCACTCTCCACAATTTTTTGACGCTTTCAGGGAGCGACACTGGGATTGGGCACGCRCTGGCCAAGCACCTGGACAGCCTGGGCTTTGTGGTGTTTGCTGGGGTTCTGGACAAGGACGGTCCTGGGGCTCAGGAGCTGCGGCAGAGCTGCTCCCCCCGGCTCTGTGTGCTGCAGTTGGACATCACCAGCACCACTCAGGTCAAGGAGGCYTATCTGACCATCTCAGAGCAGCTGCAAAATGCAGGTAAAGCTCTTTTCTGCCCCTCTTTGCTCCACTGCTGATGCAGCAGCTTGGCAGGGGCATCTCCTCACTGCTGGSCAAGGTGTGGGGGTCATTTCCAGGGCAGTGGGGATATTTCCATCCATGGCTGCTGTTTTCTGGGACATGGGAAAATGGTAAAGGCTGTTCATGGAGTGGACAATGTGCCTCTGCAGCTGCAAATCACCCCTGCCTTGGTCTTGAGGCACCATCCCTCTCATCAGTGCACTCTCAGGCACTGATCCCCTCCTGTATCACAGCCCTTTGCTTTCTGCTCTCCCCAGGGCTCTGGGGGCTGGTGAACAACGCAGGAATCCTGGGCTTCCCTGCGGATGGAGAGCTGCTGCCCATGAGCACCTACAGGCACTGCATGGAGGTGAATTTCTTCGGGGCTGTGCAGGTGTCCAAGACTTTCCTGCCGCTGCTGCGGAAATCGCAGGGGAGGCTGGTGAACATGTCCAGCATGGCAGGTGAGCTGAGCTAAAGCACCAAATAAAGTTCTGGAGCAACAGAAAAACCTGAGCTTCCTTGGCAAAAATGCCAGGAAAGGTGTCACTCAGTCTGGTTGTCAATACACCCAGGGAATTAATATTAAGGTAATAAGTTCAGGTTTTTCTTTTATTTAGGACACTGTTTCCAGAATTTTTATTTTTTTTTTGTCTGGCAGACTGTTCCCAGAAAACAGCCTTTAAATAGTTTAATCTGGCTAAAAACATGCTGTGACAGAAAAGACAGTAAAATTGAGATCTGGTGTTCCAGATGCCACGAGTGATAACTTTGTGAGCTTCCATAAAGATGGGTGGTACCCCACAGGTATTTCTGTAACATGCTCAGGCAGGAGTCTGTGACCACCTCAGTTTGTGACATCTGCTGATAACCTGGGACCTGAAGAGACTGTGTGTTTATATTTCTTTAAAAATATTTTTGATATCTTAGAAATACATAAGCCTAACTTATACTCAAAGCAGTATTTTTCCATGAAAAAAAAAGCCACAAACCTTTTTAAAAATTAACGTATGCTTTCCATTTTTTTCCCCCCCACAAATTTTGCATACTATGTATACATTTAAATATATAAATGTGTGTCTGTTGCAGCACACAGGCTGGTTTGGGTGAAGAGCTTCCTCCTAACTCGGGGTCTGGGGGTCCTTTGGTCAAACATTAGTGGCAAAGTTAGTGAGCTCTTGTTGTGCTGAATCTATTCCTGTCTGTGTAGGGCTCATTTAACTGGGCTCAGGTTAGCCTGACCTTGGAGGGAGCAGGGATTCAATTGGCTCAAACCAATCCAGCTCATTCAGATGCACACAGAGGAATAATTAACGTATAATTGGCCTGACTTCTTCGAGGGAATGGCTCTGTGTAAACAGCTCCTGTGATACCTTGGCCATCCCAGCACAATACCCAGCAGCACCAGTGGCTTACCTGAAAATTCCCCTGGATCTGAGGTATTTTCCTTTAATATACTCAAAATATTTCTTAAAATGCTCAAACACATCGAGGGGAATGTGGAGCACATGAGGCAGAGTGGGATGATGTGCCCAGCTGCCCATGCAGGCAGGAGAAGGARGGATGTGCCTCCAGGGGAAGGATTGTCCCTTCTGTTCCCTTCTCCCAGCACAGCCTGGGGTGGCTGTGACAATCCTAAACCTGTGTGGTGATAACTCCAACCTTGTGGAGGAACTGGGAGGGCTGAAGAAGAAGAATGTGCTGGAATCAAAGCGTGTTTGTATTTTTCAAAAGCTGGAGGAGTGACAAGCTGCCAGTTTCTGGGACAAAGGAAATCTCTTTCCTGGAAGCTTATTTTATGTTCTTGAATTTTTGTGCTCATGCTGGGTGTTCTCTTAGCATTCCCACCTGAATGAATGTTTCTGGGATTGAAAAAGCTGGGACACAGCTACAGGTAGGGAATCTGATTGTGTGCTGGGTCTCAGGGAGTTCTGTCACCCATGGGGTGTCACTTCAGCTTTGGTTTGTTCCCTGAGGTTTACCCCACTCTTGGGTTGTTATCTCTGGCCTTTCTGAAACTCTCTGGAAAGAACAGGAAAGCTGGCTTTATAAATCTAGAACTGAGCTTACCTACCCTGTTATAACTGTGCTTTATTGTAGGGGCTTGAAATTCGTGCTAAAGTGACAAGAACAGGAGCATAAAACTTCTACCTCACTGTTTATATGAACTGAAACATTATCTGTGTTTCTCAAACCAACAGTCATAACTTCCAGCAGTTTTTACCCTTAAATGCAATCCAGTTTATTTTTTCTGCCCTACAAGGTGCCTTATCAGGTGTTACTGAACACAACTGCTGCAAGCAACTCTTAAATTTACAACTTTCACTCTTTGCTAACCTCTAGCAAGAAACGATTCCCTCACTGGCTTGTCTTTAACCTCAGTGAGAGAGGCATAATTTTGGTTGTGCTATAATCTGCCTTCTAAATCATGGAAATAAAGGCTGGGAAGAGCCACAGTYGGGGTTTATCAGGTTTCTATTGCTCCTGCAGGAGGCATTCCACTGCCGAGGTACGCTGCGTACGGGGCATCCAAAGCAGCTCTCTCCATGTTTTCCGGAGTAATGAGGCAAGAGCTTTCCARATGGGGAATTAAAGTGGCAGCAATTCATCCATCAGGCTTCAGAACAGGTTGGTGTCTGACATTTCGGGCTGTTCTTGCTGCCTCTCCTCTTTTCCTGTCGCTCAGCAGCCTCAGATGGAGCCCTGAGTGATTCCCAGGAGTTGGAATTTTTCTTGTTCTTTAATGTTGGTTATGGGAATTAAGTTCCATGTTTTTTTGTGCACGTTGCCTGTCTCCCCTGTCCTGGGCAGAGCTGCCTCTGCTGCTGCCAATATCCTCTGCTCTTTTCTCTCCACTCCTTCCCCCTGGGTGCTCCKGCTGCTTTCTAATTCCTAATTCCTTTCTAATTTCCTAATTCCCCTCCTCCTCCTTCCACTGAGCACTTTCTGCAGRGCCTGCCCAGGTTCCACACTCTTCTCCAGCTGCACAAGCCCTCACTGCACCCCATGCCTGCCCCAKTGCATTTTTTATACCAATGTGAATCAAATTGCTCTTTTTCATAAAATGCCACTTCCCTGAGTGCTTCCCCTCCTGGGAAGGGGCCCTGTGAGGCTCTGGGCTCTCTCCCAGTCTTGTGTGGTCAGTGGAACCTGCCTGAGCCATCACCTTCAGGGCTCTGCTGAGCTGTTCTCAGTCTTATTGGGTAAAAATGAATCCTGGGATTTGAGATTTAAATATTTACTGGAAGATTTTTTCATTATTTGCTTGCTTAATTTTTGGTAGTCGGGCAATGATTGCATTGGAGAAGCCCCTGCTTTCATTCCCACATGATGCAGATGGGGTGAAAAATAGATAAAATTACGGTTCTARATCTGTCCTAATAGAAAGCTAATCCTTCATGAAARCAGTTAYTGAAATATTYGTTTGACTTGTGAAAGGGCAGCRCAGAAYTGGGCCAACCCRAGTGAATCTTGTTCATCTCAGTCTKCCCTCAGCCGTTAATAAATACTGATTGGAAACATCCACAAAATGAATCAGGACAGAAAATGGCAAAGTAGGGAGGAGGGGAAAAGCAAAAATGCCGATTTGGCTGCGAGGGGGCCTTTTTAGGTAGAACTGGAAGCCAAATGGGAAAAGGACTTTGTGCTTTTGGTGTAGCACGAAGAACTCGTGCCTTTCCTCCTCTTCCAGCCGAAAGCGCTGGCTGCTGACCAGCTGCAGTGTTTGTTCCTCACTGACCCAGTTTAGACCAGCTCTATGAATTACAGATTTATTTCCCTCAAACCCAGCCCCAGACCCTTTTTCTGTTGCTGCTGCAGGTATCCAGGGCACAGCTGAGCAGTGGGACGAGCAGGAGCAGGAGCTGCTGGCGAGCCTGGCGGTGGAAACACGGAGCGCCTACGGGGAGGAATATCTGCTGGGGCTGAGGAGTTACCTGGTGCAGCTGCCATCCCATTGTGCCCCCGACCTGTCCCCTGTGCTGGCTGCTGTCCTGCATGCTCTGCTGGCCACCAGACCCCATGGCCTCTACACCCCGGGCAAGGGCGCCTACATCCCCCTCTTCATCTTCTGCTGCTTCCCCCTCTGGTTCTACGATTTCTTCATCAGCAAGGTGCTGGGTGCTGGGTCTGCTCCAGGGGAGCTGAGGATGGCAGGAGGTGAAAATCAGAAGCTCTGAGGTGTCCACTGGTGTTTGTCTTGCTGGAGAGGCAGCTCTGAGGACTCTTTAAGACACTGCTGTGCTGTCCTGGTTAAGTTGTGTTGTGACACCGCCTTGCAAAGAAGGAAATCTTTATTTGTGTTAAGAGTTATGCTSGGGAACAGTGGATAAATGTAAATAGAGAGCTAGTCCCAGATGGGGCGTTTTYRGAGGAATTTCAGTGTTTTCCTGATRCCTTTGTATCCTGTGTAAGGTACCTCATGAAATTATATAGTTGCTRTCTGCTTCAAAAGGCACCAACACACAGAGAGATGCATAACATGTTTTTTTTTTTTTTTAAAGCAAAACAAAAACCCCCAGAGAGTCAACAGCCTTCTAAATCTTACAAGAATTTACATATTCCTATTGTTGAAGAGACTTAGAACTGTGTAAAGCAAGTATTTTATTCTGCACCTTCAGCCTAAGGCCATGTTTGGGGCTTGGTGTTTGGGTTCTGTTGCTGTTGAACCTGAGCAATGATTTTTTCACCCTCAAATTTTGTGATGTRCAGTTTCAAAGTTTATGATGTGTTCTCTTTGCTGGACTAAGCAACAKAAATTAGTTAGGGAGGGAAAAAACGAATGCAAACAGATCAAGATGTTTATGAAGAGATAAACAATTTCCTTCCTACAGTGATAGAAATAGTCACAGTGAGTGTATCAGCTGCTAATTTGATCTGTCTGGATCACTCTGTGCATTGCCTGCATTATTGGTAATTATCTCACTTCTGCTTTTTGCACAGTTCCTTACTCCAGTCTGGCTCCACACAGAACTCATGGTTTTGCCCATTTCTCCTGATGCCTCCTCGTGTCCCCCTCTGCTGTGGGGTCAGTTTGTGCTCACTCCTCTAAGATCAGTCTCTGTGTCACTTTACTGGTGTCCAGTGTCCAACTTCTGATAGATTTGGGTTGTTCCCCTTCCCTAATTTCACTSCAGGAGCCCCAGGTGCCCTCCCTGGTGCCCTACACCATAATCCCCTTGCCAGTGGCAGGTGGTTGSGCAGCTCACCTGTATTTTTCCTACCCTACTCCCTTTTTGCATTGTCTRTCCCATCCTTGGCCTTTGAAAGGCTGTGAAATTTTGGAAGAAATCCCCATCCCCGAGTTCCCTGGTTGGGCCATGTGTCCTGTCTTTGACTAGACACATTTCTTTTCCAATAATGAAAAATTAAAAGCAATCACATTTTGAACTTTAATGTAGACATATTTTTTCCTTTCAATTCTGAGGGACTCCTGACTCTCCTGTCATGCTCCTACTGGTGTGATGTGCTCTTGCACCCGACTGGACAAAATCACTGTTTAATTTGCATCTGTGGTATTTATTCCATCCCTGTCCTGTGTCTGCCATATCAATGCAAAGCTCCTGTAAATGCACAGAGGATTTTCAGAGGGCTCAGTCATTGGATCTGTGCCCCAGTGGGGGAATCCTCCTGTCCTGTAATTTTTGTCACAAATGCTGCTTTTGCTGCTGATGTTTATCCCCTGGTGGGTTTATATCAGTGACCTGATTGCAGACTTTTTTGCTTTCTTTGGAGGAAGTGTGCTCAGTGTTTTGAACTCAGGAAATCTGAGACTGTTTCTCTCTCTCTCTCTCTGCCAATTTCTTTATCTATTTCCCTGTTTTTTATGTGTCAGCAAAAATGCATAATAATAAAATATCATATTTAGTAACCGGATGGTTGTGACTCTTTCTGTCTCATCTCACCCTTTCTGATTTTTGGGGGTCAGTGCTCCATTCCCTCCTTTGTTCCCACAGCAGGAGAGCACTGAGGAGGAGGAGGGTGGGGAGCTGTCCCAGGGAAAAGGAACAAGGTGGCAGCTGCTGCCCTGTTTTGGGCAGGACACGATCCCAGCTGGCTCAAAGGCAGCTTGGGAGCTGGGAGGAAAGGTGAGTGTGGAGCTGGGGCTGTGCTGGGTGGCAGCCTGTGAATTTTGGCTGYCTTCAGGGCGAGGGAACCTGCTGCCAGGGAGCCTATCTCCATCTCTGTCCTGGATGGAGGTGGCTGCTTTTCCCTTCACGCCCAATTTGGGTGTAAATTCTGTGGGCTGGAATTTTGCCCTTAGGCACATTATACATTATACAACCGAAATTTGTCTTAGCAGCCACTCAGCTGCTTTGCCTRCCTATCTCCATAACAATCTTTAATTGGTGCTTTGTTATTTGGCTGTGGTTATAAATTGCAATTTTTTTTTYCCCTTTGACTTTCCTAATAGGAATATTATCTTGCACATTGCAGACATATTAAATTGGGCATTTACTTGGAAGTTTTGACTTAATTTTATTTTGTTTTAACTTTTATTTCCCAGGAAATTTCTGTTCTAAATAGTCATTTTATGTTTCTTCACCTAACTACAAAGACACTTTAGCAAATCTCTTAATAATTGCGATATCAAAGATTGTTATTGTTTTGTTCCYACAGGGATCTTACTTTGTGTTTTAAAGATAATTCTGTTGTAACACATTATTGAATTACATGCCACTTAGTGGGCTGTAGTATTAGAAGTAAATTTCTTTTGCTAATGGCTTGCACTGCAAATAATCCCAGCTGWGAGAGTGGCAGAGCTGCAGAATAAATTGTGGGTGTTTGTGGCCAACAAGCCCATGAGGTAAAATGTCTGGGTGTTATGGTCCTTTGCTTACCATAAAGGCTGATCTGATACAAAGATATTTTGGGAGTGGGAAGAGAGGATGCTGAGTTTTAGCAGTGGAAACTGTGGTATTAAAAMCCCCAAAATATAATAATGATCGTGATTTGGGCCTGTTTTCAAATAAAAGATTTTTCTCAAAATGCATGTAGCATGAGGAAAAGCATCTGAAAACCTGAAGAAATTTGCTGTGGCCCTAAAAAGATATAAATAATATGATAATTCATTGCTGCCATGTGCTCTTCCTTCATGTGAGGAATTTTGATTTGAAGATCTGCAGCTTTGGGTGGATGGAAGGTGAGTTATAAAGAAATTTGGGTTTATAACTTTCTTACTCTGGCTCTGTTTCCACTCTTTATGGAGTCCCTGATGACAACACTGCCCCATCTCTGCCTGCAGCATTGCAGGCTGGGGAAAATGGGTAAAATATTGTGCATTTTGTCTTTGTGTCACGGGCTGGCTGTGCTGGGGAACTTTYGGTGGCCATTTGCCAAATCTGCACATTTCATGGAATATTAATGGGTGGGACTTCCTTGTGGCTGGAGGAAAGGAAAAGGGCTGAGAAAGTTTMAACTGTGTTTAAGTGTGAGCTCTGATGGGGGATTTGGGTTGGATGAAAGTGATGGTGTAGGAGAATGGGGAGCTCCAGGTCACTGAGKGTTTTGGACTCATGCAGGGACAAGGATTAACCCTAAAACTGCTTTCAAACCCTGTAGGAGGTTGGGCAGACCAAAAACAGGGATGGGGAGAAAGGAAATAGTCACTTTGTCTAATTTAATGAGCATGAACAGAAATGTAATTATTTCTAAACTAAAGTATTTCACATTTTGCCAGTTTGAGCCCCTGCCCTCTTCAGAAGAGACGGAACAACTTCCACGTTCCTCTGGCATGTGTGAAGGTTTTTTTTTTTTTTGTTTACGGTTATATTTGAAAAGTTGTTAGAATTTTTGTATGCATTCTTTGTATCAAGAGGATGCTTCCAGGGAATTTTAACATCTCAGTGATGTCAAAATACACTGGTTTTTCTCTAAATTTACTCACCTGGGCACAGCATTGCACAGGCACAACCCAAATGGGTCACATGTTATTTGCTGAAGCCAGGAGTCCCCATCTATCCATCAACACCCATCTGGGCACCATTTGGGACATATTTGGGACAAACGTGTGAATTTGGATGCTTTTCCTAAAGAGACTGGTTCTGGGATCTTTTCTGGGTCAGTGCTGTCTGTTTTGCCCTGTTTATGTCTGTGTTTTGAAAGCCAGCTGGATTCCTAAAATGATGCAACCCCGGAGGGCATTGCACATGAGAGAGTCATCACATTTCTAGGAACTCTCAGAGAAATTCATTCGAAATCCGACTCATGCAGGCTTCAAAGGCAAAGCATTGAAACAAAAAAAAAAAAAATCTTGGCGCTCGCGAGGAAATTGGGTGGGGTATTTATTTTTTTCTCCCCAAAATCTGAGGATGCATAAATGGAAAGTGTTGCCACAGCCAGGGAACACCCTGCACAATGGGGTGCAAGGATTTTTCAGCTGGTGCAGGGCTCCCTGGAAGGCAGACTCCATCCCAGGCAGAATTTCCGTAGCCAATGCTTTTGTCAGTCATGCTGAACATCAGAGCTGTTGCTGCTCRGTTAGAGATGCATTCTGGCAACCTTGAGGCAGTGGGCTTTTACCAGAGTGAGAGAGGTAATTGCTTTTACTTTTAAAGCATGACCAAACCATAAATCAAGAATCACTGACATCTCATGAAAGGAGGCGAGTTTTAAATCCCTTTAATAGGATAAATGGGTTTTAAGCACGTTGTACAGGTCATTGTAACCTCAGCTAATGAATCTGACTTTAACAACCTGTATGAAAGCAAGTACAGTGATATAAACAGTCTCCAGCTTTAATACCTGGAAAATGTGGGTTAAACAATCCAAGTTTAAGTCCCTGCCCATGTTGTTGCCTTTAGCTTTGGGAAGTGCACTGAACAAGCTGGAAACTAATCCTGGGAGCTAAAAATTTGGATSTCAGCATCTGCCATGAGTGAGAAAAGGGGGGACAGCTCAGTGTCAAAGGGTGGCTCTCAAATCCTGGTGGAGCCAGCCTGGGCTTTGYCTTTAATCTGCTGAACCAGGAGAGCTCTGGGAGGTTCACAGTGTGTCCTTTTCCACAGAGCCTTTCAGAAGTGAATCAAAGTGAACTGTTGATTACACTGTTTTTCCTCTCACGAGTTTCACATTCTGGCCATGTTTCCCTGATTTGGGACTTTTCCCTGGTGGGATCAAAGGACATGGTCCAAAATAAGAGCCAGAATACGGAGCAGAGATGAAGAAAAGAAAATGACAGCGACTGGTCTAAAGAGAAGGAAGGAAGCAAAAAGGATGATTCCCAGGAAATGGGTTTGGGCAGGTTCAGCTCCAGTGGCTGTCACACTCTGGGTCAGGTCAGCCTACCCTCTGTCCACCACCWCCTCCTCCAACACCTGACTTTTTGCAGGGTCATTTAAGAGGCTGTGACCTGTAATTAATTTACTTTGAAGTTTTACCTTACTCGGTCTTGTACCATCCCATCCCATAAAAAAGCAGGACGTGGGGTGTTGTGGTGAGGACCAGGGTGGATSCTTCCCCCTGCTTTGGGTGGTAGTGGGAGGCACAAATCTTGTATTTCCACATCCGTGTGGAGGGAGGGGGAGATGTTGGTGCAACACCGCACTCCCACGCTCAGCCTGCACAAACCTGGCAGTGCCTTTTCTTCCTTTACTCTCTTTCTTCAGGGGCGAGAAT